CCAATATGCTAGTAATATGCATGCTAATAAGCAACTAATTAATAGTGAGAATTGGTTCCTATACTAAAGTGTTACCAAAACTTATTTCACCCTAATATTCTGAACATTTAAGTGAGACCAAAAAAAAATTATTAGTATTACTTTAGAACCAAAACCTGACATAAGCGTGGGTGTGAGTCACTAGTGTAAACTCCTAATTTGCTGCTTATTAATAGTTAGTAAGGTAGTTGTTAAGTTTAGGTATTGGGTAGGATTAGGGATGTAGAATATGGTCATGCATTAATATGTGCTTTATAAGTACTAATAAACAGCCAATATGCTAGTAATATGCATGCTAATAAGCAACTAATTAATAGTGAGAATTGGTTCCTATACTAAAGTGTTACCAAAACTTATTTCACCCTAATATTCTGAACATTTAAGTGAGACCAAAAAAAATTATTAGTATTACTTTAGAGCCAAAACCTGACATAAGCGTGGGTGTGAGTCACTAGTGCGGTGAGAATGTGAGTGGGATTTCACTGCCAGACTGAGCTGTTCTCGTACAGCTTTAGTACACCACAGTCACTGTTTACTCTCTAAACACATCATGACATGAGCTCTTAACTCTAACAAGTGACATTAAACAAGTGTCTGTTCTGCCAGTATTCAGATCCAGCATTAAATTCAGCCTGTCCGGCAGATAACAGGGCGTTGACTAACAGACATAACACCATCACCATCAAACCAACCATTCATTTCAGTATAACATTCATAATCTATCAGCTGTGATCAGACAACTGGAATGTGCTTTTCTGCAGACTTGAGATTTATCAGATAAATCTAAGGAGAAACATGCAAATTTGACTGAGCATGTTTTGGGCCAGATGTTTTTTTGACAAACATCTCTCTATGAAATAGAGTCAGGACAGAAGGAAGGTTTGTATTAGTATGGACTCTGGCCGTTTCGCACATGTCTGACCTGTGGACTGAAAGACTCCTGGGTTGCACTGGCAGTACCGGGACGCAAACGCTTCCATCATTCTGTCAATCTTCTGGGCCTCACCAGGAAGTCTGAAACTCCAGAGAAACTGCCTGTGTGGAGAGAGCAAATCCATCATAAAATCAGTCGTGAGTGAATCTAAACAAGTCCAGGTCACATTTACACAAAATCAAACAATTGTTTTACCGTATTTTTAATCATAGTGTTATTTGTTTTTTCCAAATCAAAATGGTAGAAGCATAAATAGTACCATTATATACACATACTTTACTATAATTTATTCACAATTTCTTTTATATTACAGTAATCAATATTTTGGCATTACATTTTTTTTAATTGTTATGAAAATGCCACAATGCAAAAAAAAAAAATACATTATTAAAATTGATGGTAACACTTTAGTATAGGGACCAATTCTCACTAGTTGCTTATTAGCATGCATATTACTTATATATAGGCTGTTTATTAGTACTTACAAAGCACGTATTAATGCATGACCATATTCTACATCCCTAATCCTACCCAATACCTAAACTTAACAACTACCTTACTAACTATTAATAAGCAGCAAATTAGGAGTTTGAGGCAAAGGCATAGTAAATGTTTCGTTAATGGCGAGAATTGGACCTTAAAATAAAGTGTGAACAAGTTTATATTATTAAAAAATGTAATAGTCTGATCTTCACTCTTAAAAATAAAGGTGCTTAAAAGGTTCTTAACAGCGATGCCATAGAAGGACCATTTTTGGTTCCACAAAGAACCATTCAGTTTAAAGAACCATCTCTTTCTTACCTTTTTATAATCTGAAGATCCTTATTTCGCCACAAAGGACCTTTTGTAAAACAGAAAGGTTCTTTAGATGTTAAAGGTTCTTTAGACAAAAAAAGGTTCTTCTATGGCATCGTGAAGCACCTTTATTTTTAAGAGTGTTATGATTTTGGAGTAGAAACCAGTTCATTATTGTATTACTGGGATAATTCTAAGCCAAAAGTCCTCTATATTTCGACGTGTCTAGAAATGTGGCGTGCATGCAGTTTTTGGGGAAGAATGAGAAGCTTCTCACACCTCAGAGCCTGAACGAGGTTGAGGTCGGCAAATTCATGGAGCTCTACGAAAGCCTGGAGCACTTTGATGTTGAATTCATCCCTACGAGAAAACAACAACCACACACAGGAGAAATGGTTACTTTCTGCAAAGAGTAGATTTTTTAAGATCCTTCAAGATGTTCAGCAGCATTTGTGGGCTGCTTCGTCTGTTTGTATCTATGGCTATGCTTCAAGAAATCCTGTTGTTTTGACAAGGCACATCCCAAGAGGAAGTCCATTTCCCTCAGAGGCGCACATGTTGCGTTTCACTGCTGCTGTTTTCCTCACTAAACCCAGACAATCAATTTCCGGAGGATTTTTGTGATGAATCAGGCACATATCTCTCACAGCGCAACTGACATGCACTGAATAAACAAGGGTAAAAAACCACAGGAATGAAGTAAAGGGTTACCGTTCCCCCAAGTAATCCCCGATAACAGTTTTGTTCAAGCCTTCGCCTTTATAGAGGAACTGAGCGATGTCTTCAGGGGTCTGTTGCAGGAGGTCGTTCTCCAGCAGAAACTGGATCCCCTACAAGGAATTTGATTTAAAAAGGATTTTAGGATCAACTCTATAAATGTCAGGGAAATGATGTGGAAAATTTCCAAATTTAATACAGTATGTCAGGGAAAATGTCACAAGGTTGATCGCTCAGTACAAATACTATAAATTAAAGGTTAAAGGCTTTAAAAAACATATTAAAATAGTTGACATCTGTGAAGATTTTCAAATATCTGGGTCATTGTAGAACAGACAATAAAAATGAAACTTACTTTTTTGGGGTCCATGTTGAATTTCTTCCTTCCCATTGCAATTTGTTTGTTTCTCTGTGTTGTTTTGCTGCAAATGGAAGTAAATATGTCTTAACAAAAATCCCTTAATAAGAATGAAGGCAGACAAAGAACCTCTTTGCCTGCAGATACGACGTATGGAGTAAACCGAGTTCAAAACAATAACCACACTTTTAAAACGAACAGTCCTGTGCTTATTGTCACAAATAGTTGTTGATTTGACTTGTTATATTTTTCTCTTATTTTAATTTCCCAGTGAGGTCCACTTATAATAATCTTAAATATCATTATAAAACGGATAGTTCCGGTCCTTGATTCTGATTGGTTGAGCCGCGTTCGAAGCTGTTGTAAATTACTCTACAAACATACACCTTTGTTTACGTCTGTTGTTGCTCGGCAACCACTTTGTTGCAACCACAACCGTTTCTGCTTCGCGTCGTGCCTAACAACGCCCATTAGCTGGTTATAAATTCACTGTAAACCATGGCTTCTTGGGGCTTATTGCTTTATTTAATGACATTTTTCAACTCTCGACTGTTACAACGAAACAACTAGTTAGTTTGTTTTACTGCTGTGCTTTTAAGAAGTCTATGTAAACACCATCTGTGCACACAAAATGACCTTCATTCACAAAGTTCACCATATCCCTCACACTTACATCTTTGTTTATGAAATGCTTACAGTTTAAAATATTTAGCTACCAATAAGAGTGCAGTGCTTTTAGCTTTGTTTAGCACAGTTTTGTATGCTTACAGTCCACAGAATTCAGCTGGTTTTCCCAGGAAAAAATGGTGCAGAGAATGTGAAAATAGTCATATGGGTCTACTTATGTGTTGTGGGTTTGATTATGTGTCAAATATAGATTTAACCGCTGCATTCTTCAATAACAGCCTTTTTGCAAAGCTGCGTTACATTGTGACATATTCATTAATTAAACAATCTGCACTAAAATCAGCTGCTATATATTCAACATCCATTCAATCACACTGAGTCAATCTATATTCCCGTAAGCACAATAAAACACATAAGCACACACAGCACACTCAGGTGTGTGAGCGGTGATGACCTTTCAACCAGATGACACACTGTGAATAGAGCGCTTAATGAATGTTTAGAAGAGGACAGATCAGTGAGGACCCTCAGACAAAAGAGAGACAGGTGCAAATATGAATGAGCTTCAGTTGGACTGGAATGAAAAGGAAACATTTCAAGCTCTCATAACTCACCTCTCGCCCACACACGTGAGCTGCTCGATTTCCGTCATCACTTCAGCGATCTCAAACTTCAGCCGCTGTAAAACAGAGGCTCGCATCAAACAGTAAACTCTATACGACACTCCTGTAACCCAAATAATGCACCATTCTGCTAACAACACCAAGGTCATGGGTTCGATTCCCACGAGAAAATGTGGAACTTGAATACAATGTAAGTTTCTTTGGATGAAACTGCCTGCCAAATGCATTTTACAATGTTCTAAAGCTATTTAACCAGAGAAGACCAAACAAGGTGCTTTTTATGTTGCATTCAATGAAGAAAAATAAAGGCCACTTAATTTTGAGTTAAAATATGTTGTTGTAACTTGCGTTACTGAGATTGTAACGAGTAATAATATTACCCAAATTTGATTAGTAATGCGTTATATTACTGCGTTACAGCAAAAAGTAATATACTACTGTAATATTATTACTTTTGTAATGCGTTACTCCCAACACTGGTTATGTTCAGAACGCAATGGCAGCTCACTATAGAGGAATTATGAAAAGCAATGGATAATACAATTCATTTAATAATTATTTTTTCTAATATAAAACTAACTATTATTATTATCAAATTCTCTTTCTTTCGACTACGTTCTCACCTCAATATCATCCAGCAGTTCCTTTTTCCTGCGTCGTATGTTGGACAGCTCGTCTCTCTCCTCTAAGGACAGATCTTCAGGGACTGTAACAAAACACAAGCGTAGGACACCTGTAAACGTGTGTTTATATGAGCACTGGTTGAAGAGCATAACATATTCAAATCAGCAATAATGTGGGTCAGATGTTTCCCTCAGCATTCAAACTCCAGTCATACTATCTCCAGACTCTATGTGAATTACTGGGACATTCTTTGCCATAAAATGAGAGATCCTCCATAAATATTCTTCTCAGACTTCTGATGAGTATAGTCATAAAAGGAGCCAGGGTCGTATGAAAAATCTGAGGCCATGTCCACACGTATACGAGTATTTTTGTAAACGGAGTTTTTCCTTCTTCCGTTTTTAAAAAAAACTCCGTCCACATGAAAACGCAAACGCATGCTATGAAGCACTGTCAAGAGCATGCCAAACCAACAGGTGGCGATATAATCTCAACCGTAAAGCCATGTTGGCCAATCAGAAGCCTGAAAAAGTCTCCAGTAGGCGGAGATAACAGCGCAGGCGCCGACGTCACAAGCCAAAAACTCCGGTTTCGCTGTCTACACGATAACACTGCAACCGGAGTTTTTGAAAATCTTTAAAAAAAATAACCGCGTTCCTGTGGACAGGGCCTGAAAAGTTTGGGCAGGCACAAGGTTCCTTCAAGGTCTACTTTCCTGCAGAGTTTAGCTCCTAATCAAACACACCTGAACCAGCTAATCAAGGTCTTCAGGAAGATTACTAGAAAGTTACAGGTGAGTTTGATCATGTTTGGATCTAAACTTGGCAGAAAAGTGAATCAAACAATAGAAACCATCACAGAATTTCTAATGGTTTTACTGGTTATAATGGGAATTGTATTGGTTTTAATAAAAACTCTAACAGTCTTTGGTGATTTGTCACCTTCGATTGGTGGCTTGTTAAAACCACTAAATCCTAATGGAATATGGCCCAAAACACACTACAGGAAACCATTTTTTAATGGTTTTAATGGTTAATAGTTGATTGCTTGATATTTGTAGTGGAAACCATTTGAATTTCTGTGATGGTTTCTGTTGTTTTGGTTTTTTTCTCAACAGGACCTGTTCTAAAGCTTCATGAAAGAAGTCAAATTCCCCAATTCCCAACAGTTTCTGCATTCTTTCAAATACTTTCGATATACAAAAATGTGCATTACTTAGGAATAGGAGAAAAACGTAACGCAATATGGTGGAAAAATTCTCACATTCTACACAGAAGAGTTGTTAAAGTCACTGCAGCTGCTGTTAGAAGCTGTGGCTGCCATAAAAACAGTCAGTGTCCTGAGACACCTTGGGACTGCACATGTGCATTCAGCTTAACATATAAGCTTTTGTATTGTTATTTGAGCATAACAAATGTTTATGGGGCAGTTCATGTCAGATATTTGAAATATGTAATAATTTATCACATATTTATTTAATTTATCAGGATTTCCCCATTCAAGCAGATAGTATTTGGTCTTGGATGCCCAAAATAGCTGTCTGGAGACATTGCGAATATGGCTGCCGAGTGAACAGACTTTCTTTGAAAGAGGTTTTGATTTGATTCTTTGCTTCTTTTAGCCCACTGCAGCGGTTTCTATTGACAGAGGTCTTAAAGTGGTTGTTCTGTGCTGTCTCTAATACATGAAAAAGAAGCTTTAGGATACTCTTTTATATGTCTGATTTTCATGTTCACTATTATTGTCAACAGCAATTTTATGCCATTCCAGTCTGGCAACAGACTAAAATGAATGAATATGACGCGATGAAATATTGGTTAAATCTAAAGAACATAATTTGGACAAAAAGTATTAAAGCAGAAAATGTGTGAAAGCGAACACCAGCAGTGTTTGAGTCCACAGGCTCCTCAGATTCTGCGTGAAGATGGTTGAGATTCATTCAGCAGGCAGAGGAAGTAGGTCACTTCAGTATTTCTGCTGGAGCAGATTGTAGCGCTCGCCAGCTTCCTGTATCCATTGCTTGGGAAGAGAAATCCCATCTGCATCACTCCACTAAGCTGCTTTGAATTTCATCTCCCATTTTCACTTCACATTCAGTTGTCAATTGCTAAAACCCTTTCTAGGCCAAAAAGCATGAAAAGATACTGAACATTAGTTCAAAGCTTTCTGATGGCCTGCGACGTCTATAGTGGGGTGACTACGGCGAACTCGGAAAACAAGGGTTCATGGAAACAATGAATGTTTTCCATAAAGACAAAAATGATGACACTAACCACGTCCTGGCTGCATACAATGGTTTCTGGGTTCTCTTTGACAACGTGCATAAAGCAGCATTTATTGAGTGATCCCCCACAGGCAAACCTATACGTCTACAACACAGAAATCCTACATCATCTGAGAGAATTCCCATGCTGGAATAAAAGAGGCAAATGTCTTCGATTGTTGGCCTATTGGACTCGGTGACAAACCCCCACTGTGTGTTAGTGAGCGTGCGCACACACAAGAAGCACAGGGTAATTTGATATCACTGTGGCTCTAATGCATTAAACATGACCTATAACCCAACAAGGGGAAAAGGAAACTTGCGTGCCAAAAAATTTGCTTTCTTTATTGTGACGTTGGCGTGTCAAGTGTGTGAATTTAAATATACTATTATATGTCAGTTCAAACACAATACAGCCAGTGCATCATTAAGACCTGCACTTATTAGTGGTGTTTACTAATTTCAACTAACTCCTAACCCTAATTATAAAAAATGTGCATGAAACTCCGTCTGCACTCGTTGTGCTTCCGATGTGAGTGGAACCTCAAATAATTTTCTATGTGATTTTCAACCAAATAAATTGAAATAAATTCAATATGCCGATATGGTGAACAGTGTCTCAGAGTGGTTCAGTTTGCAGTAAATGCTGCTCCACCTCCTTTGAGTTTGGGTCGCTTATAAAGTACAATTGAAAATGCAATGTGCACCACCCATTTCACCAAATTTGTAATAAGAAATGTTTATAAACCTGTTGCCAGCAAAGGAGAAACTATAACGATTCCCTGTAGTTTTATAAATAAAAGCCTGATAGTTTAATGTTTGAAAGTGAAGAGATTTAGGCCCAATCCCAATTCTATTTTATACCCCTTCCCCTTCCCCTTGTCCCTTGAAACAGAGCGTCAAGGGGTAGGGGTGAAAATATTCCCCTAAGAATTGGGACACCACTACTATGCCGTCACACGTCATCATACGTCGTCTAGCTCCTACAATACACACACCTATACTGTTGTGCTGGTGTGCATTAGAGCCTTTAATTACCGTTCTATATTAATGCACTGCTTACTGACACACACACACACACACAGACACACACACACATATCGGAGATCGCGCAGCTCACATATTCAGGAGAAAAGAAACTTGTCAACGCTGCCCCGCGACTTTTATTAATAACAGTTTAAATACTGAATCGCTACATTATATTTTCCAGCAACAAGAGGATAAAAATCACAGTTTTTTTAAGTAAACTCACTCTAAAAAGAGAAATGCACAGACGCGCATACACGCAACTTTCATCTCTCTCTCTCGAATTGGCAGTATTTGAGAAAAGGGTTTAGCGATTTCTAATTATTGGGGGGACTAGCCCCCCTCAATGTCTACGGTGGTTATCGCTCTGATCAGACATGAAAATATGTTGTGTCACCCCTCCAACCAGAAGAGAATTGAGACACCCCTACCCCTTCACGTGAACGCGCGAAACGGAGGGGTAGGGGAAAGGGGAAGGGCTAAGG